AAAATCTCATTATTATACTCATGTATAGATTTATAAAATCTCATTATTTTTCATTTGTTGCATGACCTCTCATGATTACTTGAAAGGGGTTCTATAAACATAAAAGTTTATATTTCAGATAGGTAAAAAGAGGGCTTGTGGTTACATTATTTGACAGCAAGAATGTTCTTGAATATTAGAAAGGTAGGTAATTCTGTCATCAGTGACGGAAAGCAGAGTCTAGTCAAATTTTCCTACTTTGTCTTCATGCCTTAACTGAGTACTCAGTTGGGAGAGGCTCTTTGCCCCGTTTGCTGTCTTATAATTCTCATTCTTTATTGGAAGTTGCTAAAGCGTATTGCAGCAGAGCAACTGAATAAATAAAATAACTTTAGCTCCCATTAACACCATTCACAGTTTTCCACTCCTTGAGATGACTTGCTGGCTCAGGGTGGAGCTTCGTTTGCAGCCTTCTCATGTAGCATGTATGGAGCCCTGGCTCCAGTGTCTAACACCACAGCAAACAGATTTCAGTGGTGCCTGACAGTGATTCTGGCTCTAAAGTGGCGACATTAGCACCAGAAATCCAAGGTCATCATCACCTACGTGCTACATAGCCTGAGCTACCTGTGAAATAAAGTCAGTGCATTTTAGGCAGGACTGCATTATTTACTTCATGTGTTTTCTTTTTTGTAATATTTAGGAAGGAATCGGGTGTACGTGTGTCAGGGCTTGTGGGTATCTGCTTCTCTTGAGTGCCCGTCAGTCCAGGCCCCTGACAGTTGCAGCACTGAGAAGCAAAAAGGCACTCCAACAAGGTCTGATGGAAGCTGCTGAAGACAAGGTCCTACCTCCTAGTGAAGACGACACGGGGCTGTGGAATGAGATAGGCGTGCTCGAAAATCCTCCCTCTGCCTCTGATTGGTTCACAGCCCAAGGTCTGCACCCGCAGAGCAGGACAATGGGGCCCCTTTGCATTCTAAAGGGCAAAGTATTTAAAGCACTTAGCATCATGTACAGTACTTGATGAGCTCTCTAGAAACACAATTTTGATTTTATGATTCTTCTTGATCAAGCTAAATAAGTTCTGAATGAAAAACCAGTGCCCCTCTAATGGACTTTCAGTGAGAATAATCACAACTTTGTGGACATACACCTAGAATAATATATAAACAGACTAATTGTTGACGATGGGCCAACATTGAATTTTTATTGAAATTATTTTGTTGGTGGGATGAGTTGCTTAAGAATGTTCAGGAATCATGACAAAGTTCAAATAGAGATTGTTTTATCCTTTAAGAGTAGTAAGAAATTAAATGGTATGTTCTCATTTTCATACTGGAAATTAATTTTGAATTAGGAAAAAGTGAAGAGTATACACAATGACATTTTAAACTAGTGACAGTGTTGTCTTGTTGTATTGTTGTCCTCACAATCCCAGTACTCTGGAGGACTTTTTTTAGGGAAGAATACTTTGTCCAGTGATTTTTATCAGTGGAGTAATATAATTTCCTCAGCTAGAAGAGAAAAAAATGAGCCTATCATTTTTTCATATATTCAATCCATACTTGTCATTAAAAATTGTGGGTCCTTCCTTGGTTATTTGACCTCAACCAGACAGACAGGTACAGGAATGTGGGAGAAGCCAGGCAGAGGAGCATGTTGAGGAATAATATTTTAAAGTGTGTTTACTTTTGTTTATGTTGCATTTGTTTAACTCTGTGAAACTGTATTACTGTGCCTGTCTAAAACACCTGATGGTCTAATAAAGATCTGAACAGCCAATAGCAAGACAGGAGAAAGGATAGGCAGGGCTGGCAGGCAGAGAGAATATATAGAAGGAGAAACCTGGAAGAAGAGGATGGAGCTAGCAGCCAGAGAAGGAGGAGGACTCCAGGGGCCAGCCACCCAGCTACACAACCAATAAGCCACCAAGTAAGAGTAAGATTTACAGAAGTAAGTGAACAAGAAAAGCCCAGAGGCAAAAGGTAGACGGGATAATTTAGGGAAAGCAGACAAGAAACAAGCCAAGCTAAGACTGGGCAATCATAATTAAGAATCAAACTCCATGTGTGATTTATTTGGGAGCTGGGTGGAGGGCCCCCCAAAAAAGTAAAAAAAAATAACAGGAACACAGATTGTCACTGAAGCAGCATGCACTGTACACAGTGCTGTACAGAGGGAGGGGAAGGTGCGTGTACATGGAGGACGGCAGGAAGGGAGTCCTGCTAACCAGGACACCTAAGTAATCCTTGACTGACTGGCAGAATTTCAATGGCTCTTTCCCAGCTCCAGGCAGCAGCAGGAGTGAGCAATATAGACATGCTCTGCAGTGGTTACAAGTCACCGAATCTGGTCGTGATGAAAATGTACATCCAGGGAACAGATCAGAGTCGACTGGGGTGATAGAGTTTGTCCCTTGAATTCCAGGGGAAAGGATTTAAATCAGTGGGGAATGAGAAACTGTTCTCATCATGAGAGACACGCGCCCTTGCTTTCGGCAAACATGCATAAATGAAATAATAAGCTTATAACTTCACAAATTGTGAAGTGCAATGCCCTTCCCAGAACGAAGATCATGCAAAAATTTGTAAGTGTAATTACTTAGATCAACAAACAAATGGCTGAATTTCATCTACTAAAATTTTAAGATCTTGACGGTAGAGAACACAGTCTTCTCTGATGTGTCTTCGTCTCTTATAACTCCTTTGCTTAGGATGCTTTGCATATTCTCTTACTGTTAAATTAAACATGTGAGTGTGTGTTCTGAACAAATGTCAAACACCACGAAGTAGGGCTACATTAAACCTACCTCTGGATTTAAAAACCTTTTGAAATATATGCTAAATGATTTGACGGCTTGATCAATACCTGCTTCCTAGTGAATTCACTAGGCCCAGTTTAAAGGAATCAAGTTACATAATAATTTATATCTGAAATACTCTTATTTGCTTTTTTTTTTAAAAAAAAAGTACTGACAAAGCCAATTTCTTGACTCCCTTGAGACGACAGCTTTATCAACACAGAGAACAACGCACATGGTTGTGCTTATTACATTTTTATTACAGTAGGGTTGCATGTGCACTGAGAAACTTTATATGTTACAGATAAGCGAAAGAAAGAAAATCCCTATAATCCTCACCCCCAAAATAGCCAGAGTAACTGTTTTATAGGAATCCACAATGCAATCGACACCCACCCCACCCTGCTTTTTTTTTTTTTCATTTAAATGCACGTGGCTAAGTTGCCCTTTAGCAAGCCTGAACTACTTTATACTTCTAGAGTTGTTGAAAATGATCTTTGCTTCTGCCAACATCACATACAATCACTGATATTTAATCCTGGCAAAATAGGTGAAAAAAAAAAACAACTTAAATGAATGTGTATTTCTTCTAATGCTAATTAAGTTAAATATTTCATCATGAGTTTATTGAATATTTATATTTCAGAGTAATTTGTCTCAGTGTTTTTTGTTTTTTTTTTTTCCCTCGTGGCTATTTTTTCTGCCCGGGCTTGTCACTCTGTCTCTCTTAAATTGCTGTTGAGAACTTAACTGGTGTCACTAAACTGTCCCCATGACTAGGCCAGTCATTTGTCTTTTATCATATTTCCTTTCAGTGTCACTGATCCTGGGACAAGGGACGAAGAAACCAAGAGAAAGATGCAGCTGTGCTCCCCTCCTCCAGTCACTTGTAAACCGAGTACACGTCATGAGCTATATAGTATCTTCCTGGAAAGGAAGCACATGGAAAGGCGAACCATGGGATATTAATTTCTCTGGGACAAGAAGTTTTCAGAAACAGTGGCAAAACCAGGCTTTAGAATGACTAGGTGCCTAGCCTGCTTTGGATAATCTGTGAGAATTTAGAACTAATGTGAATAAAAACAGCATACTGTGGTACTGGCCTAGAACAGAGTCTAATGGGAGGCACTTTGCAGCAAGGGCCAGTCAGATTCAGCAATTACAGTTAACAGTAAGTTCTGTTCATCCACTGCGGACGCATTGAAGTATTTCCATGGGACATGCAGGGAAGTCATGTATGGCTGTGCCCCGAAAAGTCAATAAAGAATGAACACTTTCATGTTTTGGTAACTAAGAAATTAGCTGGGGGCAATGCTGGAATTCTTTCTTCTTGGAAGAATTGGAAACTATGAAGGAGAAAAGTAAAGAAATAACAAAAGAGAAGAGATGTGGCATTGTTGGGTGTACAGATGCAGGAAATGGGAGAAACTGAAGGAATTCAGAAGGGAGCTTAAAAGAAACACATTGGATAAATTTAATATACCCAAATTATCAAGACAGGTTGCAGTGTCCACTGTAAAGTGTTCAGCTCATGTAAGTGGAGCATATATACAGATATGAATTCTTTAAAATGCTTCAAAAGGAACTGTCTCTCCTGTGTCACAGATAGTGAGCTGTGAGGTATACATGTTGAAAGTAGTTTTGCTTTTAAATTTTAAACAAAAATTTAAAGGGGGGAGAGGGAGGGAGGGAGAGAGAGAGAGATAGAGCTAGATGTTGAGTTGCTGTGGGAATTTAGCCATTTAAAATTCCTCAGTTATTTTGGGATACTTTCCCCCCAGCAGTGGCTTCAGAATCAAGGGGACCATGTATAGGTGTATTTGACTTAGATAAATAGAAGGTGTTTGGTTTAATGGTCTTTCTACCTGAAGTCACTTTAAAATTCAACAAAAAGAATTTGATAAAATCTCAAAAATTATGGACATAAAAACAGTCTAGATTCAAACCATTTCCTGAAGTAAAATGAGAGGGAGAGGGAGGGAGAGAGAGAGAGAGAGAGAGAGAGAGAGAGAGAGAGAGAGAGAGAGAGAGAGAGAGAGAGGGAGGGAGGGAGGGAGGGAGGGAGGGAGGGAGGGAGGGAGGGAGAGAGAGAGAGGGAGAGGGAGAGGGAGAGAGAGACAGACAGGGAGAGAGAAAGAGAGAGAGAGAGAGAGAGAGAGAGAGAGAGAGAGAGAGAGAGAGAGAGAGAGAGAGAGAGAGAGAGAGAGAGAACTCACAGGTGTGTCTAGGAACACAGCTGGGCCAATTTTAAAGTTCTTTATTGGTTTCTGAAGGTGTTCAAACTTTTGTTGGTTCAATGTTATATGTAACAAAAGGAGAATTGTAACAGAAACAAAACTGTATTTAGCTATTTCATAAACACTTTAAAGATTATGAAATTATTGAGACAATGGAGTCAAAAATCACGGACTTCTTGCCATATAGCTTAAAAGTTTTCTCTTAAAGAGTATCAGTAGGATTCAAATACCTGAATTTAGTAGTCTGTAAAGCCTGGGCAGAAATAGAATATGAAGTACAATTGACAAATGAGAAAAACCAGTGAAATAAGGATCCTTGAGCAAATGGAAAGGTTCACCAGGCGCCCAGGAAAGGCGTATGAATCATGTCTTTAAATGGGCACCAGAGCCGCTCCACTCATGTGATAGCTGCCTTTGGCCTCTTTCCACAGTCAACCAAAAATTGGTGACGGAAATCACATGAGGAGCAAACGCATCAGATGGCTTGAATTCCCGACGGGAAAAGTGGTTCGTGGCACTCTGAGAACTCTCAAACTCCAAGTGTTTTCTTTGGGATGACAGGTAGGTTTAACACCCACCGCCAGTTGATGCTGTAATTGTCTCCCTCCGATAAGGTGAAAATGAGCTATCTTAAAACTTTTTTTTCTGAGCATTTTTAATCTTTGCTGCCTTGATTTTTATGTATTCCTTGGTTTGTGAACCTCAGTGTGTGAAGCTTATGTCTATGGCTCTGAGGTAACACTTTGCTGATTTCCATCATTATGGATCAACAATACATCTTTTATCTCCAACTGTGGCAACACACAACTAAAAAGAAAAAAAACATTAAATATTCTCTATTCCTTGGCTTCATCTTCCAAATTCTAGACTTTAAAAAGTCACACACACTTTATGTATATAAATATTTGTATGTATCTACTATGAATGGATACAGATCTGAAAATACACGTATACTGACTGTATATTTGCTGCTATACATACTCCCTCCACATGCTGAAAGAGATCTCAAAGACTTAAAAGGCTAGTATTTGCAACATCACTCCATTGAAGGACAATATATTTAACAGCCACAACACACCTTTATGCAGACACAAACCTGCATGCAGGATGATGATTAGAACTCAAGCTGACTCGATTAACTTTAAATAAACTCCAGACATGGAAATGAAAAATAAAATATACATGATACCCTTTTTTATTTTTAGCTCAGCTGTTAAAAAGCCAATTATCTACCTGTGAATGTGTGCCACGCATTGTACTTTGAGGACACTTCTTCATAGTCAGAGGTGAGAAAGGGTCTGCCTCCAACTGTCACTGCCTCTGTGAGATTGCTATTAAAACAGAAACCTGAAAGACAGAATCCCCGGCTCTGTGTGATCAAGGAAAATCTGGGCACGAGTTGGCTGAGGACTGTCTTGCGGAGTCCTCCGTGCTCACGGAGTGGGAGGGTCACACTGGAGGGACGAATAAGGGCAGAGATGCGTCCCGCTTCCACTTGCTGGGAGCTGGCGCGGGCCACTCCGCGGTGGTGCGGCAGCCCTGTCCGGACTCCACCGCGCCTCCCAGGGGCTCCGACAGCAACCCAAGGTAAGCTGTGCGGCTCTACCACCGGCCGTTTTGCTTGATGTCGCCCACACAAGCCCGGTCTCTGTCATCTGCTGTGTTTCTGGTCATTTGCCTGCATCTGCTTTTTAAGAAAATGTCAAAAACGGTCCTGCACGTGTGCACGTGTATTTCGGGGGTACATCTGCCCACCTGCGGTTGCGCATTCCCACGCAGAGCCGAGGGGGACCGAGTGCATTTTGGCCAGACCAGGCCACTTTGATACGCTACCTATAATGTGGCCCGTGTTTGCGCGTCCAGGTCACGCGGGCTCGCGCGTTCCACTTAGGTTCTCGGTGGGTTTTCGGGGTGGGTTTGGGAAGCAGAAGTGTGAGCGATGCTGATGCGGGTGGGACGGACCCCGAAGAAGGTTCCACAGGGGTAAACGCACGGAGCAAGCTACGAATTCTGCGGGGCTGTGGGCTGGGGCTGGGATGCTGTGCCGGGGAGAGAGGCGAAACCCAGGACGCGCAAGCTCAGACGCCCGTGTCCTCCCCGCACGGAGTTACCCACTTCGACCCCCGTGGGGGTCCCCGAGCCCGGCTTGGGCTGGCGGGGGCGCGCGGATCGGGGACTGGTTCCCAAGGGGCCGGCCCTGTGCCTCCTTCAGCCCGCAGAGTGCGCAGCGCGTCCGGCCGGAGCGCAGCCGCCGTCCCCGCCGTCCTCGCTGCCACGGCCGCCGCGGCGGGGACGTCAGGGTCCCGGCGCAAGGGGACGCCGCCCCGCCTCTGCCCGCGGCGGCCCTCAGCTCTGCGGGAATCCGGCCGGCGCCGCAGCCACCGCGGCCGGCCGGGAGGAGGGAGGCGGCGCGCACCGGCCGGGGAGAAGTTTGTTGGCCCGGAACCAAGCGCGCCACCGCGCAAGCCAGTTCCTTTGAAGCAGGCGGGCGATGAAGCTTAACCTTACCCCAGCGAGGTCTTGGAGGGCTCTGGAGCCGGTGGAGTGGGTGCGCAGGTTACCCACAGGGACTCCACTGCGTGGGAGGCAGGGGGGTGAACGCATGGTAGTGGGTCTCGGGGGACAGTGGACTCGGTAGTAGAAAGGATCGGACCCAGCTGCTGAAAATGTGTACTTTTAATAGAACCATCCAGGAACTGCGACAGTGGGTGATGTGAGACCTAGCTCGAGGCTGGGAAATGGAAGGGTAACAGAAATAAATTGTGCTGCCTCCTCCCACCCCATCACCAATTCAGAGACTGCTTAACTTCCAACCTCTCCTTGGAGAGGAGGGCTGAGGAGCAGAAAGAGGTGAGGGTGGTAGAGGCGCTTTAGAGGAATTTACATCTGCCCGCTCCTCACCCCCAAGAAAGCGAGCTAGTGAAAGCAACACTCCCGCACAATCCAAGGCCTACGGTTGTTCTCTGAGAGGAGGGAAAGAAGGTTGGCTCCATAAGGGTGGCCTTCAGGGTCTCCCGAGAAGGCAAGCAAAGCTGCAGGGCCCTTTCTAAGTAGCGAGCTCGTCACCAGGCGCCTGCAAAGGAGCAGCTGGGACGTCTACGTGTTTTCATGGCGCAAACTGTAATTTCCCAGTCCTGAGACAAACGGACAGGATTCGCTGAGAGGGATAATTGTTCAGGGCACAAAAGAGGAGGTAGCCGCCAGGGTTAGAAAACTCATTCCCCCTCCAGGAGAAAATGTTGGAAGTGACTGCCAGGTGCTTTCATGTGGTTTTGACCAGAATGATTTCTGCCCGTGTCCTGAAAAAAGAAATTCGTGATAGGAGAGCAGGGAGAGCGGCTCCATATGGACAGGTAAGAGAAGTGCCAAACGGAAGGGAAGAAAGCCGCGTGCAATTATGTTTGTATCTGAATCATTGTTATCCCCAAATCCTTCCCCAACAGATGGGAGTCCACGGTATTCTTCAAAAATGGAAACTTTCCATCTATTTTTCTGGTCCTGCAGTTTGGTCTCTTTTGCTGAAATCTCAGTTCGGTTTTTTTTTTTTTTTTTTCCTTCTGAGGCAGCAGAAATGGGCAGTGGGTTCTAAGCATGTGATTCTAGAGATAGAAGACGTGGACAGGAACTCATAACGTCGTACGTGGAAATCCAAATGAAGAATGCAAAGCAAGCAGGGGTGAAAAGAAGGGGGCAATAAATAGATACACTAACACCTAGCCTTGAAGGGATACTTCCGGGTGGGAAATGGAATGAATGGGCTGAGTTCAATGACTCCACGCAGGCTTTGCTGAGAACTTGTATCTCCAAGAGGCCTCTGCTTAGACAGGCTTAGCACAGGAGAGAGCAAGCAGGGAAGACACAGGGAACGGCCTATAGGAAGGCTTCAGGTGTCAAGAGCTGAGCACAAGGTGAGGTGAAGTCTGGGATGAGGAGAGCTGATCACACCTGCCAAGAAGACTGGAGAGGGGAGGCTGAGAAGCAGCGGGCACTGGACGCTGCCGTTGTGTAGACCAATAGCAAGACAAGCAGGTGAGGAAGTTGCATAGTGAAGTTCACAGGAAGATGGTGATTGTAGACCCGCAGGCCTATCTCATGCCTATGGAGACTGTGAATTGGAAATGCCCCTCCCATGTGTAAGAAATCAAAGGCAACCATGCAATTTTAAGAATTTCATATCAGCAAGCCAACAGAGCCGTTCAGACGAAAGAGAAACCAGAAAAGGTGGATGAGTTGAGATAGTATACAAATCTATCAATGTGACATTCTGTCAGAGGCAGGGATGTGTCTACAGAAAACAGAACCAGAGCTTGTAATCAGAAAACAGTGTGGGTCCGCCGCAGTTGTTGAGATGGAGGGAATCTGCAGAGTTATTGCAGACAGCTGTCATTGAGAGAGGCATGTCAATGAGGCAAACTCACTGTCGGGAAGGGAGAAAGCTGCTTTGGTATGTTCGAATAGAATCTGAGGGTGGACGTCTTCAGGGAAGTGGTCTTTGAAACGAAAGGAGAAATCCTATGGAACGTTGAAGCATTTAAACGAATTGGTCAGTGGTACCAATGTTAGCAGTCAAGGAATGTGCTTTCTGTGGGCACCACAGACCAACTTCGAAATTGTTATTATTTTCGAATCTCACTAAATTACATTCATCAAGCCTTCTTTTAGTAATTTTTTCCCCATACTTCCCTACAATTCCTTATTTCCCATGTATCCTTCTACAAATATTAAGTAGTCCACGTGTCACTCTATTAGCTTATAGTTCTCAATATCTGTTTTGTTTTCATCGAAAAATTTGCCGTAGACTGTGTTCCTTTTTCAAGCTGGGTGCATAGCTACCTGCTGATGCTAGGTTTGTTTACAGGAGATGAATGAATAAAACGCAGCCATTTATTCTTCTTTAAGAGGATACGTAGAGTGGATACAATGCAAGTGAGTCATTACTGCGTAGTCCAGACTGTTGATGGACAGGAGGGGAGCTCAGTGAGCTCAAAGGGGGGGGGGGGGGATGGCGAACCTTGCCTAGGATGGGCCTCACAGACTGCACACAAAAGATGGCTTTCAAACTGCAAAGGAAAGGTGGAATAAGAGTACCCAGATGGTGAGAGGACTGGAGTGGAAAGATACTTCTGAAAAAGGAATAAGCAAATAAGTAAATACATAAATAACGTATGTGTATTAAAAGCACCATCAAGGCCTGCAGTTACAGTTCAGAGGTAGTATGCTTACTACGTACAAAGCCCTTATTTAGATCCCCAGCACACACCCCAAAAACATGGGCAAAAGTGTGTATTTGGGGTATTGCTTATAGTTTGATGGAGCAGTTTGGAAAACAGTAGAGTAAGGGAGATGAGACTCCTCCATTGTACCAGAGTCTTAAGTCCCTTGCTTCGTGGTACACAATGAAATGCCACTGGAGATGGAAAGGAGAGCCCTAACGTGATCGGGCTGGTTTCAGAAATAGAATTCTTAGCCAGGACTTCCCACACTTTGCTGTACTCTGGTACTCCACTGGTGTGGATGGTCACTAGTTTGAAGCTGTCCCGGAATACCTGGCAAAGCCTTGT